GGTTATAATTTACTTTTTTTTTCTTTATTTTGATTTTCAAATTAACCTAGATTTCACTAGTGAGAGCTGGTTTCTGGGTCCTTTTGACAGTGAACTCTTCCTTTCTTTTCGGCACACGAGGATTTCCAGACTCATTTTTTACTTGCCCTTCCCTTGCCTCAGAATCAGCCATTTTTTCACGGAGTCCTACTTCCTTTTAGTGAGCAGTGGTATTTCGTGGACAAAGTCTGGTGCTGGGTTTATTCATTGCTGTTGCGGTGTTACTGCTCTTAGACCCTCTCAGTGGACAGACTTAAAGATATACAATGTAGTGCCTGGTTTCCTGGCAGATGCATTCCTCACCCTGCTGAGGCTCTGAGTCCCCGGCCTGGGCCCCCACCTGTGTGAATGCCTTCCCCATCCCACTGGAACCTTTGCACCTCCCACCGTGCCTCCCTTGTGTGGGCACCCTCCTCACCTGTCTGGTCTCTCATATGCCGTACGTGTCAACACACCCTTTGCTGTTTGGGCTTTGACATCTGGATGCTAGGCCTTTCCAGTGGGTATCTGATTTGCTGAGCCTAGGCTCTGACTCCCCATGCAAGGCTGCAGCCCTGCGGGAATGGCTTTTCCACTCTATTTAGGCTTTCATGTCCCTGTTTAAGTTTACTGCTACGTATGTTTTTCTTTTGGATGTTATTATAAATGAAATTGTTTATATAATTTCCTTTTGGATTTTTCATTGCTCGTGTGTGAAAACACAGCTGATTCTTGTGTGTTGATCTTGCACCCTGCACCTTTGCTAATAAATGCATTCATTGACTCTAGTAGCTTTTTTGTGGATTCTTTCATATTTTGTGTGTACAAGGTCATGACATTTGTGAAGAGAGATACTTTTACTTGTTCCTTTCCAATTTGAATGTCTTTATTTTTCTTGCCTAATTGTTCTAAGTAGAATTTATAGAACTTCTAGCACAGTGATGAATAGCAGTGGTGAATATGGGTGTCCTTGTCTCATTCCTGATTTAGGGGAGAATGCCGTCAGTATTTCACCATTGAGTATGTTAGCTGTGGGTTTTTGATGACTGTGTTATTCTTAATAGCAGCATGGCTTTATGTCTGGTATGTACAGCATAGTTTATTTAATTGATCTTTTATTGCTGCACTAAGTAGTTTCTGATATTCTCCTATTACTAATAGTGCTCCAGAGAATAATACTGTATATTTGCCATTTGATATACGTGAAAGTGTTTTTATAGTCTAGATCCTGAGAGGCGGGGATTACTGGATTTCCCTTTTTTTTTTAATTTAAGGTCACTGTGTCCTACCTTTAGCTCCAGATTAAGTAGAAATTTTCTGTGGAATAAAATGAGTATCATTAGCTGATCCAGGCAGCAGAACATGGGTGCTGTGGCTATTAGAGGTGGTAGAGGTAATGTTCTAGAAGAGTAAAGCTGCTAATAGCATCCAGGGTATTTGAGAGACTCACCTCTCAGGAGGAATAGAGTAGTTCATGCTGAGCCAGTGCTTCCACTGAGAACAACCAAAAAAATCAGGTAAATTTAAGAAAATAGTAATTTTCCTATTATCAAAGAGCTACAGAAGCAACTAGAACAAGATGTTCAAATGTTATACAGATGAGAGAGAGCCTTTCAGAAGTTAGCAGAGGTTTTGTAGCTGCGTTTCCCTGAAAAGAAGCAGCTGAGAGTCTAGGCTTGGCTCAGGCTGAGCAGCACTGCTGGGGGACAGTAGGGCTCTGGGTCACCACACAGGCCTGGAATGACAAAGCCCCCTCGGTTCGCAGTTGAAAGCCCAGGAGAGACGTTCCGTACATTCAGTGGCTAACCAGGGGTAGACTGATTCTTAGCAGAACTACAGCCCGTCCTTGAGCCAGCGCAGTTCCTGATTAAAGTGATTAGCCTCTTCCATGGCAGAATGAAGGGTGAACATACTCTTAATGGAAGATAAACATCATCTGGTACCTCTGTGATTCTTTTATATACAGTTCCCAGTGTTCAGTACAACATTACTAGTCCTGTGATAGCAAAGAAAGCTTATGATCAACCAAGAGAAAAATCATTTTAGGGTCAGACTCTCAGATGACCCCAGTATTGGAGTTAGCAGATAAGGAGTTTAAAATAATTAAAAGTAATAACTTAATCACAGTGAAATACCACTCACACTCACTGGGATGGCTGAAATTAAAAGGATATTAACAAGCTTTGGTGAAGATGTGGAGAGACTGGGATCATACACAGTTGGTGTGCAGCTACTGTGGAAACAGTTTTATAGTAACTCAAGAAGTTTAACATAGAGTTAACGTAACCCAGCAGCTCCACTCCTGGGTATATACCCAAAAGAAACGAGAACATATATCCACTCAAAAACTTGCATGTGAGTGTTCATAGCAGCATTATTCTTAACAGCCAATAAATGGAAACAACACAAATGCCCATTGTGTAATGAATGGATAAGCAAACTGTGATATGTGCATGCAACAGAATATTATTTAGTTACAGAAAGGGATGAGATTCTGATACATGCTACAGCATGAATGATACCTTGAGAATATTACGCTAAGTGAAAGAGCTAGACACAGCAGGACAAATTTTGTATGATTTCACTTGTATGAGGTACCTAGAATAGGCAAACTTACTGATACAGAAAGCAGACCAGGTGTCACAGGGACTGGGGTGAAGAGGGAATGGAAAGTTGTTTAATGAATAGAGGGTTTCTGTTTGAGATTATGAAAAAGTTCTGGACATAGTGATTATATTTGCATAACATTGTGAATGTACTTAATGCCACTGAAGTGCACACTTGAAATGGCTACTATCTAAGTCTTTTGACCATGATAAAAAGGAAGGAATGAACACGCTGTGATCCAGAGGAACCATAAAAACATGCTGAGTAAGAGATGCCAGTTACAAAGAGTCACATATTGTATGGTTCCATTTATGTGAGATGTCCAGAATAAGAAAGTCCATAGAGACAGAAAGTAGGTTAGTTACAGTCACTGGCTGGGAGGGAGGGATTGCTGGAGAATGAGATTTGACTGACTGCTTATGAGTGTGGAGTTTCTTTTAGGGGTAATGAAAATATTTAAAATTTTATTTTGATGGTAGTTGCACAACTTTGTGAATATACTTAAAAAAACATTGAATTGCACCCTTTAAATGGATAATTGTGTGGTATGTAAGTTATATCTCAGTAATAATCTTAACTAGACCATAAGTAATAATGAATAAATAATACATGTTAACAAATAGGTAGAAGTTATTACCTGAGAAAAGGTGAAATATTTATAGAAATATGTGATTGGAATCATAGAGAATGCAAAAGAAGACACAAGCTATTGACCAAAATTTTTCAAAATTGATGAAAGATGTGAACTTTTATATTCAATCATCTCTTTGAATCCCAAGCATGACCAATATAAATTAAACCATTCCTAGGCGCCATTCCATAGTAAGACAGCTAAAAACTGGGGAAAAACAAAACACTGAAACAGCCAGAGAACAAGGAGAATGACGCAGTACCGTCAAAGAAACAACAAAAAAAACTGACAGCTGTCTTCTTGACAGGTTGAGTTAGGAGATACAGCAGTCATTACAGTAGTTCACACAGAAGCCAGGCACTGGCAGGGTGAATAGGTCGGACAAGCTGGGTGGGTTCTTGTGATGTAAGGAAGCTGTCTTCAGACTGGCCTGTGTCTACCTTGAGAGATACAGGAAGACTTGCCTGCAGTAACCAGTGTGGATACTTTTAAGGCCATTGCTTTCTAAATCCTCAACTTCCACATCTAATTTTTTCAGAAATTGACCCCTCTGGTGGAAGTATTGTTGCAGTTTCTCCTTTCCACTTCTCCTTTCTAGTTACTCTTTCCTGTTTTGTAAAGAAAGACCCGTGTCTCTTCCTTCTTACTCTGATTTGTTGCCTCACATTATAAAAAGCCCCCAAGTTGTGTAAGAAAGGAATATTTTGAAATACTACTGTTGATGTACAGAAAATGAATTTTTAGTGGCTAGGTATTGTATCCTTTTGCAAGATGGTTTCTAATTCTTTGCTTTCAACACAATTGATGGCTAATTTGATCCATTATTAAAAGTAGGTTTTTTAGATCACTATGTATTTTTTAGCAGATAACTCAGAAGGTGCTCAATGAATTGAGTAACATAAGGAAAACTTCTAGTCCTATCTACTTATTTATGGTAATGAGATTTTTCAGGGAAAATACATAAATTTATAAATATAAAAAGTAGAAGTAAAAATGATGATAATTGGGAGGGAAAATTTTGCATACGCATATGTTTGATACACACAGTATAATTACTTTGTTTTGGTAAGTTGTGTGCTTACAATAATTTAGATAACTCATTTCTGATAACAGTTGAATTTATATACACAAGAAGTTTTAAAATGTTAAATTTAAATTTATTTACATATAGTTTAAAGAAGTAGGATAAAGAATAAATGCAAGACTTTCAAGCATAAAATACAATACACTGGTTTTGAAGTTTTGTTGGAAAAGTGAAATATAGATACAAGTTCATTGTTTAAGAGAGGTTTGTTTATAGTTTTTTTTTAAATGGATGATGGTAGATATTCATACCACTGTGGAATTTAGGTTACATTGGATATGTTTCAGAGTGAAGTAACAGTTTTATCTTAATACCAATAATGAAAAGTTTTAAATATTAACTTATATTCAAAGATTTACATAGTTTTTCAAAAGTATTTTAGAATATCTGAGTAAAATCTTTTAAAGATGATTGGCAGAGCTGATTGAGGCAAGGAGGTACAATTTTAAGGAGATGATACTGTTAGGGTTCTTCCTACAAGTGCACTTGCAGGACCCTAAGAGTGAGTGCCTCCTTAAACCGTGACCCTAGGTGTAAACTTTCTCACCCTATTCCCATTGGATTTATATAGCATAAGAAATTCATTTGTGAAAAATTGGCTTTAGAAAACATATTTCAGATTCAATCATTTTCATCAACTGCTTTTAATTTGTTTTTCAGGGTGGGATTAAAAACTCAGCCTGAATCAAAATGCCCTGAGCTGCTTGCCAATTACTGTGACATGTTGCTAAGAAAAACACCATTAAGCAAAAAACTAACCTCTGAAGAGATTGAAGCAAAGCTTAAAGAAGTGGTACATACATTTTTTTTAACTTCAGATAGTTTAATTATCTTACTTTGAATTTGTGTTTTGTGTATAAGGTTTTCTGTGATAGCATTAATTTTTTTAACGTATGTCTATAAGCAACTAATATTATGAAATTTTACCAGTGTAAGATCTCTGTAAAGCAGTTGTTTTTCTTCCTGAAAAATTTTATTCTATAGCTGCCAGAAAGGGAAATAGCATTTAATTCTTTCTCGATTCTTTTAAAAAATCTATTAAATTCTAGCTCCTATGAAAGGACAAAGCAAAAAAGAGAAATGGAACCAGCCGATGGTGTTTGGAATGATGGTTGAGACTGGATGTTTTTCACTTCTTTCTTCTTGTGAGAGCTCAAAATAGATAACCAAGAGTGAATGAGTGTAGTTTCAAAGTTAGTTGCTTTCATTTTTATTTGTGTCTTGTTACTAGTGTAACATGATATAAGCCCAGGAAATCAAAGAAGAAAAAAATTAGTAAGCAAGACACAGAGAAAGTACAGACAAAAAGAGTTAGAGAGAAGAAGACTGGTGTCAGAATAAAGTGAAAAAGATACGTAGAAGAAAAAATTGGGGAAGAACCATTGATTTTCATATAAAGTTTTATCACATTTTATATAAAATTTCAAAAATTGATATTTATAGGCACTCAAAGGTTATTTGGTTACAGTCTCTCAAGTTTGCTAACTTTTAAAGTAGTAAAATAATGTCAGGATTGGCTATTGTTCAAAGATGGTTACTGTTCAGTTTAATAGGCCTCTGTCTGTATATGTTTATATAAATTTCTGACTTTTGACGGTGGGGAATGTAGAAAGGTCTAAATGAGAGGGATGGCTAAGAGCATATATAAATTGAAAGTCACTTTGTTTCCTATACAGCTCTTGGTCCTTAAGTACGTACAAAACAAAGACGTTTTTATGAGATATCACAAAGCGCATTTGACACGACGTCTTATATTAGACATCTCTGCCGATAGTGAAATTGAAGAGAATATGGTAGAGTGGCTAAGAGTAAGTAAATTTTTAAAAAATACTTGGTTCTCTTAAGATAGCACATGGTTCGTATGTGTGCTTAAGCAGTACAGTTTGGTGATATTGTTAATGTTGAAGAAATAGGGGACATTTTATAAGAATATGGCATCAATTATATAAAAAAAGTATTTTCTTAATAAAGAAGCACCTTTGCTCTTGCTTTGCTTCTGTTGTTGCACTCTTGTATCTCCACTCTCACTTATTGACGTTTTTAAATAAACTACTGGGCAAATCATTTCATTTTTAAAGGTATTTTTAGTACTAAATATTTAACCACAGAGATGTTTGTAAATAAATACATCTATAAAGGAAAAAGAACCAATAGGTAAAGGTGGTGGCTTATTTAGCATAATCAGTGCTAATTATGACTACATTCCTATGTCACAGAATTTTAAGTTTGTCTCTTTCAGTTAATTTTAATGGAATTTGAGTTATATTAACATAAATTAATATGTCTTTCATTTATATGTATGTATTCTATATAATATATAAATATGATAATAAGTACATAATGTGTATACTTACATGTATTTCATACATATGTCTTTCATTTATATTTGTATTTCAAATTGCAGGTTTACAGATAGTCCTACTTTGCATGGTGGTGTGGGGTAGTAAAAATTACTGTGTAGTTGATCTTAAAATTAACAGTCAGTGGGGAAAATTATTGTTCTACGGCTTAGAAATTTTTGTCAATATTAAAAGCTTACCATCTGTTATATAGGAAAATAAAAATAAATAAAATTAGTATGTATTTAGTACACTAAGTTAAAACATAAACTTTCAGATTTAAAGTGGTTTTTTTTGTAAAAAACTTTAAAAATGTAAAAAGAGTAGTTAGGAAAATACTTGCAATTCATATGTCTAATACTGTATCTAGAATATGCAAAGAACTCTTACAACCCAACAGTAAAGACAAATCGGTTACAGATGGGCAAAGAATTAGAATAGGCATTTCTTCACAGAAGGTATACAAATGGTCAGTAAGTGTATGCAGAGACGCTCAACATCATTAGTCATCAGGGAAAGGCAAATCAAAACCACAGTGCGAAGCCACTCCACTCCCACTGCGACAGTGAAAAATCAGATAACAAATGCTGTCAAGGAAGAGGAGAAATTGGGACCCTCATGCATTGCTGGTAGGAATATACAGTGGTGCTGCCACTTTGGAAAATTGACAGTTCCTTAAAAAGTTAAACTTAGAGTTAACCTGGCAAGTCTGCTACTAGATAATTCTGCTCAGTGGAAGTGAAAACATATGAGCACACAAAAAGTTGTGCATGAATGTTCATAGATAGTAGCATTATTCATAGTGACCAAAAAATGAAAAGAACCCAAAATGTCAAACCAGTTGACAAATAAACAAAATATAGTTTATTCATGTGATAGAATATTGCTTGTCCATAAAAAGAAATGAAGTAATGATACATGCAACAACATGGATGAACTTTGAAAACATTTTCTAAATCAAAGAAGCCATTCACAGATGACATACTGTATGATTCCCCTAATTCAGTGTGTCCACAGTAGCCAAATCCTTAGAAACAAAAAACAAGGGTTTCCAGGAATGGAGGACTGGGGAAAATGGGGAGTGACTGCTAGTAAGCATGGAGTTTCTTTTTGGCATGATGAAAGTGTTCTAAAATTAGACAGTGGTGATGGCTACATAACTGTGTAAATACACTAAAACTTGATTAATTGTACACTTTAAAAGGGGCAAATTTTGAGACAGATGATTTGTATCTCGGTAACACTGCTACTAAAATGAAGAGTGGTTTGACTAGTACGTGCCTTCTTGTCATGTAACTCACAGTACACAGTGAGCACCTTTTGTATACCTTAAAGAGCTGTCATACTCCTAAGTTTGGATCAGCTTCCAAACTTTTGTCTTTTGGTCTTTCAAAGTCATGAAAGTTTTTGCTGGCATCACGTCGTATCCTTTTTTTTTATTGTCACTACCATTTTTTTCATTTATGTTGATAATTTGCCTTCATTAAGTTTCTGTACCTGCATATTTAAAGTCTTCACCATTGGCATTATCAGTAAACATTGAACAACCACAGTCAGCTCTTTTTTCTAAATTCCATTTATGTTCTATTTTATTTTCATTTCCAACATTGTTATATTTTTGGTGTACCATTGTCATCTTTCTTGACCAGTTACGTCTTTTGATTATGCATTTTAATAAAATGCCATGTGGATTTATCACTGGAAGACGTGGAAGACAGGCAACAAGACTGCATGCTTTGCTGTCTGTGGGTGAATTGAATAAACATGACTGACAGATTTTGAAAGAAGTATCTGTGATTGGTCACTGATATGATATACTCTATTATTAGTGGTGCAATAGATTGAGGATCCAGAAGTTATGTTAGTGCTTTATGTAACACTCACATTTAATATGTAGTGGTAATTGAAAGTTGAACTGTAGTGTTGAGAGACTGGTGTTATTTAACTGTACTGTGGTAACTGAAATTCATGCGTATTGGAACTGTGCCAGAAAGCCAGGATTGCCTGTATATTCTGTTCAGTTTCTAAGAATCAAATTTAATAGGTATTAGATTATAAACATTCTAATAAATAAAAGAGAAATGCAGAATTTTGTACTAAAGCATCTAACACTTAGTTTTCCATTAAAATTTTTTGCTAAGAGTATATCAGATTATATATTGTTAATTACTTCTTCTGTCCTTGGTTTTCGTAGGAAGTTGGTATGCCAGCAGATTACGTAAACAAGCTTGCTAGAATGTTTCAGGACATAAAAGTATCTGAAGATTTAAACCAGGCTTTTAAGGAAATGCACAAAAATAATAAGTTGGCTTTACCAGGTATTATTTTATAATTACATACATGTTTTAACTTTTTAAGAAAGAGTATCTTTGTTTTCTAATAAATTAAAAATAAACCTAAGCAGTAATAGATAAAAAGATGTTACAAAGCCCATGTTCCGTGAAGGTACCCCATTCCACAAAGCAGAATTTAGATTTGCTAATTCTTATTTTGAAACAAAAGGACACTTTTTAACAAAACCTTTAGAGTCTTGTTTATTTTTCACCAAAGCGTACCCTTTAATTATTTTGAATTTTATCCATTGTTAAGATTATTTGCTTTATATTTTCTGGTATTCTTTCCTATAGCTGATTCAGTTAATATAAAAATTCTGAATGCTGGTGCTTGGTCAAGAAGCTCTGAAAAAGTCTTTGTCTCACTTCCTACTGAACTGGAGGATTTGATACCTGAAGTAGAAGAATTCTACAAAAAAAATCATAGTGGTAGAAAATTACATTGGCATCACCTCATGTCAAATGGAATTGTAAGTAGATGGCGTTTTAGTTCAGATACTGGTTGGCTGAAAGTAGCAGGACTCCAAATAAGATTTGCTTAGATAAGGTCCTTGCTGCTCTCAAAAGGGAAAGTCGGAGCAGACAGAGTGGATCTGTTTCACGAGATTGCTAGGGACATAGGCTTCTGGTTGTAGCACCGTGCTTGAGGTCTTCTTTTGCCTGCAGAATCCAGTATACTTCTCACTATGCCTGTCTTCCAGCCCAACAGGAAGGGAAAGATAAAGAGTATAGCTTTCTTTAAGGGCAACTTCTAGAAGTTTCCCCCATTGTTTCCACTCAGATCTCATTGGCCAGCACTTAGTCACATGGCCACATTTGGTCAGGAAAGCTGAGAGATGAGTCTTTATTCTGAGTAGTCATTAAGGTCTGCTAAAGTTTTTATTACCATGTAAGAAAGGAAGAATAGATATTGGAAGACAGCTGGCAGTCTTTTTTATACATAATCTCATGTAAGATATATTATAGATACACGGTAATATCATAAAGAGATTATTTTTTTAAATTGTTTTATCTATTACAGATCACGTTTAAGAATGAAGTAGGTCAATATGATTTGGAGGTAACGACGTTTCAGCTGGCTGTATTGTTTGCATGGAACCAAAGACCCAGAGAGAAAATCAGCTTTGAAAACCTAAAACTTGCAACTGAACTCCCTGATGCCGAGCTTAGAAGGACTTTATGGGTTGGTTGGTTTTTATGTTTTTTTATTTTTTAAGTTACATCCTCTCTCATAGCAAGAAATATGTGTTGGCTTGCTTGAAATAAGTTTATGAGTTCATAACACTCTCAAATGACTTTTAACCAAGAAAAATACACTAATGAGATATTTATGGAAAAAAAAAGAAATTGAAAATAAGCAAGTTATTAAGACAGAGAATGGCAAAAAGAGAGAGTGTCAGAAAGATTGAGTTGGTATTTAAATGTTATCTATGAGGAGTGGCCAAAGACTGCATCATGAGTGTTCAAAGATTTTATGGTAACCCAGATTCTAAGAATTATCTTTTGAGGGCTTGTAAAATGTAGTTATCAGCCTCCTGTTCAAAACTGCATTTTTCCCCGACTCCACAGGCCTCTTCCAAAGTAAATTCTCACCTGGAGAGAGATCAGCTGGTTTACAGCTGGTAGTGGTGTTCATGGTGCTCATATATGACCAGCGCCTCTGGGTTTTTTGGTTTTTCGTCTTATGGCAGAGAGAGTATTTATTGCTTCCTCACAACCAGCTCTTTTCTCCTCATTCTCTCTCTCCTCATTATGCCTTTGCATTGCTGTATTCATGGAAGTAATAAATAGAAGTTTGAAGTTGAAATTCATGCTCATAATTCTTTCTCACCTATATTGATCATGTTGGAGAATTGATCTTGGCATTCTGCACTGTTTATAGAAGCTAATTGTTTTCTCTTTATTCTTCATAGTCTTTAGTAGCTTTCCCAAAGCTCAAACGGCAAGTTCTGTTGTATGAACCTCAAGTCAACTCACCCAAAGACTTTACAGAGGGTACCCTCTTCTCAGTGAACCAGGAGTTCAGTTTAATGTAAGGTCTACGTTGGTTGATCTAAAATAAAAATAGCTTGTTTGAATTTTAATGTTTTATTTTTAGCAAAACAGTTGTTTTCCTTACATGATATTTAAAACATACCTGTATACTGTCATCACTTTAAATTTATGTCATTTAGTTGTTTATTAAACATATTAATGAGCTGGAGATGTTTATTACTTCTTTGTGTATTGTCCGTGGATACATCTGGGTGTCTGACATTATACTGTATTGCTCTTCAGCTTCAACATCCTTTTGCACTTTAGCAACTTTATCCACCCAGGATTTTTCCCTCTAGATCTGATTAGAAGATAATGCTGAATTACAGCCAGTATATCTTCAGTTATCTAATCACTTTCATGGCAATATACATTATATTAACTCTGTTACTACAGGGAGTGTAGTCACCCGTATTCTATTAGCAAAGCTTTTACTGTATTTGAGGGAAACCATAGGGTTCTTTTTTTTTTTTATAGGATTCATTTTAATAAAGCTGTATGTTGGTTATTTGTTACTTTTACCCTAAACAGTGCTGGATATTAATTTTAAGAATACTTCTAAATTTTTTTATTAGACATTGTTGCTGTAATATGATGTTTTAAAGGCCTGTCACTGCAAAATATTTGACTCAATGTTTTTTATAGAAAAAATGCTAAAGTTCAGAAAAGGGGCAAAATCAACTTGATTGGACGCTTGCAGCTCACTACAGAAAGGATGAGAGAGGAAGAGAATGAAGGAATAGTTCAACTAAGAATACTAAGAACCCAGGTTTGTAATATTAAGATGGAGTCTCTACATTTTGAAAAACTTCACTGTTGTTCTTTTATCTTCAAATTTTTTTGAAATTAAAGGAATGTAAGTATTCAGACTTTTTGTACAGAAGAGCTAATTTTCATTTTACTGATAGTGTTCTCAGTTGCTGAAAGAGACATCTGTGGGACTTGGTGGTCTCTGGTAGATTCTGTTGTTTGGGCAAAACCTTCGTTTTTGGTTATGCGTCTCTTTGACCACACGTCAAAGAGAATAAATGTATCTCAGCAACAAGTTACAATTCTGGGACTGTGTGTTTAAAATTTCATTTAATTTTAAGACTTCTAATTCCATTGTCATGTGAAATTAGGGAACATTTTTTTTTAACATATTTTAAAACTAGGATGATGATACCTCTGAATGTGATAAAGAGTACCTATAGCAAACTAATGTATGAGTGTTTTAACTTTAGAGATTTTTTAAAACTAAGTTGTGCCACTTTTACCATTTTCATTCCATTGTAGTTGAAATTATTGGCCAGTGTAATCAAACATGAAACAAATAGGAAAGATTAAAATTTTCCATGACTTTTAGATCATATAATATGATAAAGGAGCAGAGAGAAGATGAATAAAAATCTAATGCTTTTCTGTTTAGCAATAAACAAACAAATAAATAAACTTAAGAACATAAAAGAAGAAACCATAGAATTCACTGGCATTTCTTTAAAAAGCAGTGTGTAGGCCCTCTGTGAAGAGAGGGCCCTTCACCTGAGAAATTCAAAGGGAGATTTGAATAAATAGATTGTATCTTACTAAATTTTTTTATTGAGGTACAATTTACATACAATAGAATGCACATTTTTTTGGTTCTCAGTGTTTTGCTGAATGTGTATATCTCTGTGACCATCACCTCAATTAAAGTACAGAACATCCCCATCATCTCAGTGATTTCCCCGTGTCTCCTATCCAGCCGGTCTCCCCCTTCAACCCACTTGACTCCTGTCGCCACTGCTCAGTTCTGCCTGTTCTAGGTCTTCATATAAACAGAATCAGACAGTGTATGTACTCTTTGTATCTGGCTTCTTTTGCTTAACATGAAATAACATTTTTTTAATGATAAGGCTGAATAAGTTAAGTTGATTTTTCCCATAGTAGTACTAAGATTACTGAATTTCATATAAAAACTCAACTGGGAATACTGTGGGAGTTTTAAAAATTGATTCTCAATTTTAATCAGAAAGAATGAATAGATGAGAGTGATTGAGAACCTTAAAAAAAAAGTAAGAATAAGGTGTTAGTGGTGGTGGAACTTGCCTTGACAAATATTAAAACTTAATAAAATATCTACAAAAATAAAAGTGTGATGGACAGATTAACTGAAAGAAATAATAACTCGGAATTAAACCTCCTATGTAAGTGTAGATGAACTTTGCAATAAAGGAAATAATTTCCATGGCCCATGGAAAGGAAATGTATTATTCAGTAAGAGGGTTCAGGAAATTTTACTTCTGGGGGAAAAAAGCATGATATATTTGTAGCTTATGTCTACACCGGATCCATTCAGATAGATTAGAACTGAGATATGTAATGTGAGGGCAGGTGTAGTTACACTGTAAGATGTGCAGAGAAAGTGAAGTTTTGTTGTTTTATGTAAAACTGATCCATAATTCCGCCCAGCCCGCTGATCCAGGCTGTCCGTTGAGCTGATGCTCAGGCTTGGTTATTTCTCCCTGATTCTGCTCCGACCATCCCCATCCTTTCCTGTTTTCACAGGCGGTGTCTGGATGTATTGAGGTTGAGAGAAATTCACTTGATCTCATAGTGACAGTGAACGGACTGTCGTATCTGTACAGTTGTGACCATGTCCTGGGTTCTTGCTCTTGTCAGCTGTGAAGTGCTTTCTTTATCTGCCACCTGTGGGACTTTGACTTTCTTCTGCTGTGTATTGCTGATGTCTGTAGCAGATACACTGTGGTTTATTCTTTTTCTGGTTGGTGAGGACCACATGGCATCTTTCCTGCTCTGGCTGCCTGTCCTCCGCTCTTAATGGGCTCTTGAGCCCTCTGAGACCCTGCCGTATCTTCTGTGTGTCCCTTCACCCACATGGCATGCTCTCATTATCATCTGCTGCTACAGGAGCACCCTCTCCTGCCACTAAAGGCCCTCTGTGGCAGGTCCATTAGCTCTCAACTCGATCTGCATCATGTGAGAACTGAGAGAGGCTCAGGAGTGCAGATTCTTTCCATTATATCATGCCACTTTTCTAGTGACCTCCAACATACTAAATGCGGACCAGGGTCAGAACCACTGTTGGTCTCTCACACCCCGCCGTCTTCACCTCTGACACAGCTAGAATCGGAGAAATTGGGATGTTTCCAGTTGCTCCTCTTCTCCTTCCTGGCTCTGTCGTGTATAGGTGCCTGAAGGGAGGGACAGCCTTTTTCCCTCTTTATTCTTTCTTTCTGGACCCTTAACATAAATCCCTGTGAAGAAGAGCCTGGATCTGGACAAAATGACATTGGGAGGAACCCACCAGACCTCTAGTGGCAGTGTAAGGTCCTCCTGTCTGTCCAGGGGAAGCTGAAGGTACTTTCTCATGCTGAGTAGCGCCTGATTCCCAAGGTTGATACTGCCTTGCATTTGCACTCCATTTTCACATTTCTTTTCAAATAAATTCTTATCTCCACTAAGGCAGATGAATACCTTTTGTTGGCTGAGGAGACAGCTTGTACTGGAAAAGCCAAAGGGAAAAAAATATTTATTAATTTTCTTACCCGTATTACAAACTTAGTATTAATTAAAGAAATCATCAAGGAAACTATTGATAAAATTGACTTAGATGAAAAGTACTTACTCCTATAGAAAGTAAAAATACTGAATTGAGTCAATACAAGCTGAAGGTACTTACAACAAATACAGTTTATTCATCTGGTAAATATAGAGTCATAATTACTAATTTTTAAAACAGACACCAACTGACTTACTACTTCCTATACAAAGAAATAACTGAATACAAATGAAAAAGTATGTAAAGGAGTTTGTTGTATCTTAGTTGATTCTTAACACAATACCAGATTACATACATATTGTGTTCACAGGTAAGATAAAATTTTTAAATATACATAGTATGGAAAGAAGAAATGAAGGGAAGAACACGAAAACATTAGGTGTGATTTTTCTTTCAGCAAAGAGTTATGGGTAAATTTTGTTTTTTCTCACTTTTCAAAATCTCTATAATATGCAGGTTTTATTTTTCAGAGGGAAAACATTTTTATTTGTTAAGTAAAAGGTACTGGTCTCAAGATTAATCTAGTGATTGCTGATCATTTGGAGAGATGTTGGCTAGAGGACGAAATACGTAAAAAGTCATTTTTTTGTTTTGTTTTGCTCAAAATAATATTTTATTTTTATTTTTTCTTTTAGGAAGCTATCATACAAATAATGAAGATGAGAAAGAAAATTAGTAATGCTCAGCTGCAGACTGAATTAGTAGAAATTCTGAAAAACATGTTTTTGCCACAAAAGAAAATGATAAAAGAGCAAATAGAGTGGCTAATAGAGCACAAATACATCAGAAGAGATGAATCTGATATCAACACTTTCATATACATGGCGTAATTTTGAATATCATGGACAATACTAAGAACCCAAATTGTGGAGTGCTTGGGCAGAAAGTTGTTACAGTTTGTGCTAGAGGAAGGTTTATTTGGACTTTGATTACATAAATATTAAAATCTCTGCCTTACCTAACAAAACAACTATATTTTGCCAATCACGTTAGTTAGCATGGTGGCATTCCCTTCATGTTGCACACTCTTTAACAGCATGCTGTTTTGTGGAGAAACTTGCATTCATGAAGAGCCCATTATGAACTTTTAAAAATAAATCCAATTTATACCCACCAGAAGAAAAACAGTGGGAAGGGTAACAGTGGGGTTCTTGTTGCTTGTGTTTTTCTTTTCTTTTTTTTCCCTCTCTTAGAAAAATGTACTTGCACAAGGAAGGATCTTCAGATGTTCGTGCACTGAAAAATGCTGTTATGTTTTGTTTTAAAAATGCAATTAAAACTAGAAATAGCACTCTTCGTTTCTTTTGATCAAAAGAGTGAGCTGGTCTACACAACATTGGGACAGGGCAGATGTAGGGAAAAGACAAGTATTTAATAGTGTCAGATTACTTGTTCAAACACTGCTTCAGTATAGTAACTGGATTTTAATGGTGACTTTAAAATGGTATTAAATTTTTCCAACTTAAAAATGTTGGCTTTCTTTAAGCAGGAGACTACTGTTTTAGTTGTTTCTTGTTAAATGATAAGGAAGTTTTGAATTTTTTTTTTTATCTTAAATGGATGGACAACTTGTTTGGGAAAAGTGAGGATTATATTAATTGTTATTTCAGTTGTTAAAAAAAAATGTATGGAGACAGGTCATTTCGACTGCAGAATCAAAACAGCAAAACAAGCATCTTAAGTGTTTGCTAAGATACTTAATATTTATATACCTAATATTTATTATGCCGCATTCAAATTTATTAAAAACAAGACAAATCTCCTGCTCTAATATAATGCTGTTTTGTAACTGACCTCTTAACCTGTAGCATAGACATATTTTGAAATTTTAAAGTGAAATTGATTCATGATTAGGGATTTATAACAGTTTTATGGAAAGTAAGACATTCTGTTTTAAAAAGTAATTATCAAGTCACCTAGGAGAAAGAGGAAAACCACAACATAAGATCTGAAAAACATAAGCAAAATTGTTGCAATCTTAATATGAACAGTAAACTTGCCAAATATATGTACATATATATTTATATATTTTAATAATAAACATTTTCAAAATAGTCTGAAGGCAACACTTACCTTGTTCCTTTCAGTCAATCCAAAGTGGCAACTTATTAGTTGCTGGCAACTGAATACCCAGAATAGTGGAGGTTTTAGGACTTGAGGACATGAACAACTTAAAAGAGAAAAATTTATTCCCCGTTGGGAAAGAATGGCTGAACGTGGATTTTATTCATTGTGGGGCACATTTCAGATTTTCTTGCAAATTGTTTGCTATTTTGTTTAATATTAGTAATAATATTGTAAGTGAATTTGATGACAGTAGGAAACGGAGTGCTGGAGCATCGAAAGGCATACAGTATTACTGCAGAGTGCTTGCAAGAGCATTTCATGGCGGCTGTCCCCATTCCCAAGAGGCTTTGTGAGCTGCCCGCTGAAAGGAAGGAAAGCAAATTTAAAACATTTAAGGTTTTGCTGTATAGTCAAATACCTATTCTGAAACTCATAGGAAATTGGAATTTTGTTTCTAATTTAAAATCTTATACTTGAGCTCTGAGGTAGCATATGTCAATTATTAGACTAAGCATATTGTTAAGAATTCAACTAAATTAGTGCTCACTGTTTCCTCTAGATGACTGTTAACAATGGATAAAATTGAAATTTTAAAAAAAGATGATTTGGTAATAATTGTGACCCGTATGTTTAAAAAATAGTTTGATATTAGCATATTTGCTTATCCAGGAATGCCAAAGGAGGGAGAAATGGAAGGAAAAATTACAGGCCATTTCTTAAAAGTTTAAGATTTTTTTGTTGTATTAAGCCAGAATTGTCCTCAGAACTTTTTTGGAATTTCTAATCTTTTTAGTCATTTCATTTAAGAATGACAGCCATGATGTTTTGATTTATAAAGGCAAATTTAATGCAAAAGTGGGTAACTCTAAATCCATAGCGAAGTTTTCTATTAAATTTTATAAATTTTTTAATAGCTAATTATGTCCTAATTGTATTTTGGGGACTAGAACAGCAGCAAATATTGTAGACTTACAGTTTTCATCATTGTTTTCATTATGCATACAAAAATTTGACTACTTTTTGGTGTTTATGACAACCATTTAGTTGACAAGGTGCCTATCATTGTTGAATTTTCTTTAAGTATATTTTGACAGTAGATTTGTTAATTAAAAAAAAAGAATCTGAAAAAAAAAACCTACCAGCAGTTTGCTAAAGGTACAAAATCACAGTTAGTAGCCTTTATTATTGAGTCCCCTTCCTGGTAATGTGCACTTAAAATTAGTGCTTATGAGCAGGGATGAAACCTGACATAGTTAAGGGGAAAAATATATAGATATATACATATATGTATGTATTTTTTTCATGAGGAGTATGGCAGTAGGACCCTTGAGGTTAATTTAAGCTTCGAGCATTCATCTTCTGATACAAAGATGGAGCCGTCTGGAGAATGTTAACCTTTGTTGCCGTCTCATTGCCAGAGTAAGTAAACATGAAATAAAGTAAAAATATAGAACAATTTTAATGGTTACAATGAGTTAAATATTTAGAATATTACCGTTACAATGATTTAATGAGGATCGTGAAATAAATTCTGAAGTCTTCCAATTTTTACATTTATTGGAGGGGTCTCTGCATTCTGTCAAACTTTAAGTGTCTTACTCTTCTTTTGTGCATACATATTAAAATTTCCAAAAGTGAAATATTAGCTTTCTTGTTTTTACCTTTTATTAAATTTAATGCAAAATATGACCAGAGTAGTTAAAAAGTATTTTGCATTATTTGCAGTAAGTTGTCATTGGCCCTGCTCAAAGGGCAAATTTTAAAACTTCAATTTGGTTGAAAGATTTGCTAGTTTTCCAGAAAGATTTGCTATCTTAAACTCAAGCTTGTTTTTTCTATTTTCATGTAAATGACTGGGATGCTGTCCTATAAACTCTTCCAAGGTCATGTTTGTGAAATAAACATTACATGAGAGCTTTCCTGTCATCTACACTATATATGTTGTCCGGAGTGTTGAACAAATTTGAGTTCCTGAGTTGTAATCTACCCTCGTATGGTATATACGATTTTGAATGTGTGCCACTACATACTGAGATGATAATGCTGTACAATTTTAAATGGTAGCAGTTTCTGTATGCAGTAGGCTGAAATATTTTGATGAACTGCTTAATTTTTGGATTTTATTTTTTAAGTTGTATAATTTATTTTCTTGCAAAATAAAAATGTAATATAAAAGCTTTCACCTATCCAGAAAATGTTGGTGTTCTACTGTAAAACAGTTTCTAAATTTTAATTCAAATTTTTGTAATAGGTATTTTTATATATTTCATAATGAAATACTAAATCTCAGCCAGCCTTAGGAGTTAAAAATATGAAAAGTAACCAGCTTACTTTTAAATTTCAAATCATAGTTCAGAATGAAAGCTGTCGGGAGTGCAGCTTTTCCGTTGACGGTCGCATAGGACTGTCAGGCCTGGAAGAGGTCAAAATTTTCAAACCTTAAAGTGATGAATGTATTCGTTCATTAGTTCAGATAGGCCATGTCGTACCCCAAATTTAAATTTTTTTATCACATAAAAGTAAAAAATATAAAAATTATTTCATGTTTTGTGTATATTTGATAACTTGTGAAATACTTAAATTTCAAAGCTAGAGGCAGTTTAGTAATAAAGTTATGAAGATAGACCGTGTCTTGTCGGTCTTGGCAACTGTAACAAAGCACCGCGGACTGCATGGCGTGTACGGCAGCAGAAGTTGGTTCCTCATAGCTCTGGGGGCTCCGAGTCTGAGATGCGGGGGCCAGTGTGGCTGGCTCTGGTGAGGGCCCTCTGCAGACTGCTGGCCTCGCACTGTCTCCTCACACGGCGGAGGGAGGGCTTACGGAGCGCTCTCCGGGTCTCCTTCATAAAGGTGCTAATGCCGTTCACAGGGGCTCCACTCTCATGGCCAAGTCACCTCCCAGAGCAAAGGCCCGACCTCCCAGCAACATCACGTTGGAGACTAGGTTTCAAGTATGCCTTGTGGAGAGACACGTTCAGTCCATAGCACTTCATGGTGACCCTAAACTCCGCCTCGGACTTGAACTGGGATTTGAGGTTGGGGGGAAATTGACTTGGAAATGAAGGCAGAGGAAAGTGTGACCTCAGTCTAAGGTTCACCAGAACCTAGAGACAGATTTACTATTAGGCATAAGCTTCTGGGCCCCTGACTTGCACGGCCCCCTTCCAAGGCCCTGCGAGGGGCCCTAGGAATTTTGTATTGGTAATTTATATTATTTTTTCTCAAAGAAAATCCCCTAAATGTCCAAAGTTGGATCCAGTCCTGCTGAAACAACGCAAAAAGACCCGTGTCTGGCACATAGAAGGCATGCAAATGTGGATCGAATGAATGAAGCATGTATGCTTAAGAGCAGAGTAAAGTTCAGTATTTAAAATTTTAAATGGGAAGACTATTTTCTAATCGCTTATTCTAGGCTGTAAAATCAAATATGGACTTTGCATGTTCCTAAACATCTGTTTTAACCAACAGACAGTCTGGAACAAGGGTCTTCGACTGTTGAGAATTTTATGAGCATCTGATTAAAGAGAAAGCCACGTATATAATGACGCAGACAATTCTGTGTATAAATTTTAAGCGTTCCAACACTCAAGATCAAAAAGCTTTGACAGTGAGATCCCACAGCTCGTAGAGAGTGGGTAGCAACTTGCTGTCTGAATTGGTAATGGCCTGATGTCACAAGTGCTGATCCGAACTTAGGTCTACTCTAGTTTTTGGCCGTTTTTATCTCAAGAATGACACCTGCGTGTTACTGGGTTTTGTTATTTTCATTTAGTGGTAAATGCAGTATTTCTCTTGTTGTTGTGGTTGCTGGAGCGGACTGCTGCTTACTTAGGTGTTTCTTCAACAGTGATTGATGGTTGAAGGGTAGCCGTGGGAACCAGGAAGGCAGAGGAAAGGGAAGAGCCAACTTTGCAAAGAGCCAGGTTTGAAAATTAACACTCCTGTTAAGAGACTATATTTATCGTACCTCTAAGAAAGGATGGGGCCTGGGAATACCTTTACAAGGCCCTTTTCCTGTGGCTGCTAAGTGTATCATTTTCTTTTCCCTTATTCTGCTTTACCTCCTCCATTCTCAGCAGAAGATCTTACTTTGAGAAAATAAGCAGAGAATGTAAGGCTGTCAGGTATGCACTGTGGCAACTTGCCTTCTCTACCTGTCAGCTTCAGTAGCGCACGTCTTCATCTGCCTACCTATCTCAGAGGAAGGGGTACCTCACTTCTTGCTCAAGACCAACTGTTTATCTTTCTCTGCTTCCTGTGTTCTGCTCCAAAAATACCTACATTCCTGTATCTTCCAGTCATCCTTTTGGTTACTTCCTTCTCAGCCCACAAAGGGGTTCTCATGTTTTGGTCCACAGACCAGCAGCATTCTCATCACTTGAGAGCTTGTTGGAGATGCAAGTTCTTGAGCTCTACCCGAGACCTACTTTGGGGAGAGGTGGGGACAGCAATCTGAGTTTTAATAAACCTTCCAGGTGATACGGATGCACTAAAATTTGAGAGTCACTGACTTAAAAACATTCAAATATCCACCATCCTTAAGAATGTCTTCCCCCTGCCTTGGTCATGTTATGACCTTATTTTCCTCCCTCCATTTTCTGCTAAACATCTGCACAGTCTGTCTCCATTTCTTCTCCTTAGTACTCACTGGCTTCTGCCTCCACTGGTCCTCTTGCCAAGGTCATCAGTGTCCTCCTGTTGCTTCATCAGAAGTTCATTTTCAATCTTCATCTCCCTTGATCCCCTTCCAACATTTGTACCTTGAACACTCCTAGTTACTGAATTTGTTTCATCCCTCGACTTTAAGGATACCATTCTCTCTTGGTCCCGCACTTACCTCTCTTAGCTTTCTCAGTCTCGTTCTCTGCCTGCACGCCCCAGGATTTCATCCCCATTTCTACTCTTGCTGAGTTGTGGACTCTTGGCTGATTTTATCTACCTCTCTGGCTTCAACCACAGTCTGCATGTTGATGCTCCAGACTGTCTCCATCCCAGGCTTTCCATCCCCAGATCAACGTGTATTTACAGCTAATTCTTGAACACTTGCTCCACTTGGTAGCTATCTCCGTCTCCCAGGTTAGCAACCTTGGTGTACCTGTTGCTCCCCTCCCACACCACACTATTGATTCTACCTCTGTATTGCCTTCAGGGTCTCACCTTTGTTTGCCTTTACTGCTACTATGTTCACTGAACGAATATTTCAGTCTGCTTATACCATCTGAGGGAGGTAGGGACTAGCTGCTGGGTTGCTTCTTGGCCTAATTTGGAAGTGGACTAAATGTACAGAGTGATAAGTAGTGGCCAGTAAGATGATGTTTGCTTGACGTCCGTGGCATTTCTGGACCGCTGGCCTAGCTCTCATTTTCCCCTGAGTTGCGCTCAGACCTCTGAGGCCTGACGCCAGCTGAGGTGAACTGGGTCATTCCCTTTAACCTGTGGCTGAGGAGGCGCTCCAAGTCGAAAGCATAAAAGCAGGACAAGGATTTTCATCATTTAAAAACTTCCCACGTTTTTAGTGCGGTTCCTTGCTCAGTTAGGGGCCCACTACTTGCAAATTTTAGTTCAAAGGTTTGGGAGCCACTGCTGACCAGACCGAATCATCCTCTAAAGGTGAGGGACAGGTTAACAAGCCCAAAAGTCATGCCTGGGACAAGCTGGACTTCTTTCTCACACTCACCAAGAACTTCCCCAAGTATCTTCTTTTGTATCTTTTTGTTCTAAAGCCCAAGATAAACCCAATGGAAGCTATTTTTAGGCACTCTTCTCTTCTGCTGTCTTGTGCATCTTCCGATTGTAATCATTTTCATACTTGAATGCATGTTGCCAAATGACAAAAATAAAACAATTTAATAAAGAGTTGGGTGTCCTTTATTCAGGGGAGAACTTACATTCCCTGTGGGCTGGGGAGCACAGCCCCTCCCGGGCAGTGGAGCATTCCTGCTAAGGGCTTTTGGGCAAGAGGAGCCTCACAGAGCTTTAAAGGGAGCAGCGACCTGGAAACGCTTGACCGGTGTGAGGTCGGCCTTGCCTGCCTTAGGCTAGCCCGTCAGCCAGGGAACCAGGAAAGAGTATTCAGCTTCAGTTAACTGGCCGAGGTTTCACATCTGACCTTACCTAGAACAAAGAAATCAGTACACACTCTTGGCAGCTGGGGATTGGCTGGCTAGATACACTGTATTTCTGGTCAAGTGGAGCATTTACAAGGACTCGAAAATTATCTTAAGTTTCTTTGGCTCCCAAGGCAGGAGCAGCTCCACCCTGGGCTTGGAAAATTATTTCAACAGTGAGGTACAAACATTTTAAATGTCCACTAAAGAAGCTCTTGACACTTCGTACTTCCCAGGATTTCAAGAAAGAAGATGTTTTATAGGGCATGCAAATGGAAGTAACATGAGGAAGTGACATACGTAGTCTGACCAGGACGAGTATATTAGTTTCCTAGGGCTGCCGTGACGAAGGGCCACAAGCAGAGTGGCTTAAAAGAACAGAACTTTGTTCTCTCCCTGCTGTGGAGGCTGGCAGCCTGAGACCCAGGTGTTGGCAGGGGGCTCCTTCCGCGGGGTCAAAGGGAGCTTCTGTGTCACGCTTCTCTCTCAGCTTCGGGTGGTGTCGGACTCCTTGGGGTCTCGTTGTTTGTAGGTGCATCGCTGCATTCTCTGCCGCCATCTCCAAGTGACCCTCGCCCCTGTGTGTGCCTCCCTGTTAGAAGGACACCACTCACTGTGTTTAGGGTATAACCTAGTCCAGCATGACCTCATCTAAACTTGACTGATCTGCCAAAAAAAAAAAAACTATTTCCAAATAAAGTCATTCAGAGGCAGGACTTGTAGGGGACACTAGTCAACCTAGTACAGCGAGGTATTCCAATAGACTACCATGGAAGATCCTTGTTACAGAAGAATTTAATTCAGAATGAATAACAAGCATTCTAGTATTGTGAATCTAGTACCCACACTTTTTTTTCTAAACATCTTTTTATCTCCCAGTTTGTTCCCTGCTATGTAAATGTTGTTCTAATGTTCCTAAAACTGACTTGTACTTCTAGAAAACCACTCTGGGGCTTAGGACTGTACTGATGGGCGTTTACAAAGAGGAAGAGGCCAACAGGTTTATTTTATCAAGACTGATGGTGTTCTTTCCAGGTTGTCAGTCCCACTCACACTGTTGCCACTGGCAGGGG